CTGACCTTGCGGTTCGCAGCCTGATTCGTAACCACTATGGTACCAGAGAAGCTTCCCATGTGAGGGGAAAGGACTGTGTTGGCCTGGGCGAGGGGCTCAGCTGGTCTTCCATATTATTCAGGAACCGGAAGAGCAAGGACACAACAAGGTGTGCTTGAAGTATGAGGTAGTGAGCTTGCTGCTCCTGGGAGTAATCAAGCAGAAGGTAGATGACTTCAGGAGGAACACTTACATTTGAAGGAAAATGTGACAAGATGCCAAAGAAGGCGTCTTTTAGCATATAGATACGCTGATTCTATACTTTTAGACTCCTCTCCTGCTAACTTTCTATCCGTTCTGGAATCTAGACTCTAAGTCTCCAGAATGAGGAGAGTTGAAGACTTTGGCCCTCAAGAAACTATAAGTCTGGGATCTCAAGATTTTAGAAGTTGAAGACATGAGGAGGAATCTACTAGTTTCAGATTTTCAGATTGAAAGGATGCTGTGCCGTGAAGGGAGAAAGAACTGAGTGGGTGGGATCCAGGTTCGTACACCTGACCTGGCTGGGGGCCACGGGGTATACGTGTACACAGGCACGAAGCTGCAGAAAGTTTAGCAGGCTGCCTTTCAAGCACTCCAGCTTTCCTGCCCGAACCACAGCGAAGGCTGTCATGGAGATAAGTATAGCCCCCAAACAGAGCTGGTGACTCTAGATCACCATAGCAACCATTAGGTAACTGCTGTGTTGTAGAGATGTGTAAGTACAAACAGATGTTGGTGGCTTCCCATTAGCTTAAATGGTAAAACTTAAAAGGTTGGATTTGTCAACATCAAAGCCACAGGTTTCCATGAGCACACAGCTAATGGAGGCGCCTGCCAAAGGGTGACAGCTTCTTATTAAACACTTCAGAGTCAGTAATGGCTTGATGAGATTTTAAATACTCAGACTGTCCCCAGTCAACACGGGAGAATGTAGGTGGGAGGAACGCTCAGGATTCAGGCTTGGGTCTGCCACACAGCAGTTTGGGCAGGTGCTTAACCTCTCCAAGGCTTCGCTCCCTTCACGGGTGGCATGGAGTACTGGGTGGAGTACTGATTGTGAATTTGACAGTTCAAACCTGGCCAGCGGTACCTTGGAAGAAAGGTCTGGCAATCTTCTTCTAAAAGGTCACAACCTTGAAAATGTTATGGTTTTCTTCTACTCGGACACATGTGGGGTTGCCATGAGTCAGAGTCGGCTTGCTGGCAGGTTTTTGTTTCCCTGCCTGCCCCGCAGGGTTGTTGAGGTTCACGAGGCACTGGCAGGAGAGCACTTGAACCTTCACACCATGTATTGACTGCAGCGCTGAGGACTGAAATTAGGACATGCCACTATGTATTGTGACTATGGTGCCAAGGGGAGGTCGCCCAGGCCCCAGCCTGGGCAGTTCTGTCCTCCCTTCCCACACTCCCAGGCTCACCCTCCAGCAAAAGTGGCCAGAAGTAAGGGTTGAAACTGCTGAGGGTTTGAACCCTGAGCAAACCCTCTCATAGTGGCAAAACTTTCTGTTTGGTCCTGACCAGCCACAGAGCAGGTGGTCAGTATGGGGTTATAAAGTGAGTGCGTTAGAGAAAACACACACAAAGACGGCAAACCCACTGCTGTTGAGTTAATTTGACTCACTGAGACCCTGTAGGTTGCAGAATAGAACTGAGCTCCATGGAGTTTTCAAGGTTGTAGCCTATTAAGTGTCGTCGAGTTGGTTCCAACTCATAGCGACCCTGTATAGCGTTTCCACGGAGCAACTGGTGGGTTTGAACGGCCAGCCTTGCAGTTAGCAGTCCAGTGCGTATCTTACAGTGCCACACCAGGATTCCTTAACATGTCTGGGTGGGTTTAAACCTCTAAGCTCTATGTTACTAGTCAAATAAGAACCATCTGTGCCACCCAGGGACCTGGGATGATAGCCCCTAGAAGGATCTCCATGGCATTGTTAGCTGCTTGCTTTTCTGATGCATCTTAAACAGTTAAAAGTGGATGGACTCTTGGAGGTGAACTGACATCCTGGTTAACGCATGACTTCAGGGACTGGGCACTAGATGGACAGTCCCTTTTGGCCATTAGGAATCAGCTAACTCAATAAATAGGACTCATTGAAGGAGACACAATCAGTCATAAGAAAGTGCCAGCTGGTGGAAATTTAAGAAGTCATTGGGCCAGGCTCCACAGATGTCAGGATGGACTGATGTTCTAGACCCAAGGTTCCATTCGGGAACTCATGTGGCGCCGTAGGATAAGCTCTCGACCTCAAGGTTGGTTTGAACTGCAAGGTCATCAGTTCAAACTTACCAGCACTCCTTGGAAACCCTATATAGGGTCGCTACTGACTTAATGGCATTTAACAACAAGTTTGGGGTGTCTTACCAAGGAGCTCTGGTAGTGTAATGGTTACGAATCGGGCTGCGAACCGCAAGGTCAGCAGTTCGAAACTACCAGCTGCTCCGCGGGAGAAAGATGAGGCTTTCTGCTCCCATAAAGATTTACAGCCTCGGAGACCCTGTAAAGGGTCGCTATGGGTCGGAACCGACTCAACAGCACTTAACAACAACAACAACAACCAAGTTGTTATTGAGAGCCATCGCGTTGGTTCTGATTCAGCAATCCTCCTTGTATCTTTTAAATCTTTGTGGGAGCAGATAGCTCCAGCTTTCTCCCATGGACCTGCTGATGGGCTCAAAACATGGACTTGTGGTTTTCAGTCCAGTGCTTATTGTATAGAGCCACTGCGCTCCTCTTGACTATTGGACATGCCAGTTATAACAGCCCCACCTACACAGCTCTTCCTAAAGACGGCTGCCCTATCCCAGTCCTGCAACTTGTTCTGGGACCACATGAAGCTAACTCAATAAGTCACAGCTGAAAATCCAGCACTCACCATAAATTTCATTCTACACAAGTCACTGCCTGACCAATTCTTGTTAAACATCTCAGTTCATATTTTGAAATCAAGGGATCTGATGGGCGGAGTAATAGACACTGACTGTTGAACCAATCCCTGCCTTTGGTTGGCCAGGGTCAGATGTCAGCCCTAGCCCAATCAGCTATGAGTGGTCGAGGGAGCATCATGTGGTCCCAGAGCAGGTGTGCAGGGCTGGGGCAGGGCAGCCATCTTTACAAAGGGCTATGTAGGCGGGGCTGTTGTAACTGGCACGTCCAGTACAGACACAGTACAGTCAGGACATTATGTATCCTTTCTGAGCCTCACCTTCTACACCTGTAAAATGGGGATGAGGCTCACTCCCTCACAGGTGTGTTGTGAAGATGAGATGTAGCCCTACCCAGAGAGGGCAATACTGTGCCTTGGCTCCTCTTACCTGCAAGATTCTTGGGCACAGGGATGTGTTTTATTAGGTTTTGTTATCATGTAGAATGGTGTTTCATTGTTAGCTGCCATCGAGTGTATTCCAATTCATGGTGACCCCTGGTGTGCCCAGCAGAACTGCTCCGTGGGGTTTTCAAGGCTCTGATCTTTCAGAAGCTGGACTTTACTACCAGGCACTTCTGGGTGGTTTCAAATGGCCAACCTTTTGGCTTAACCATTTGTACTATCCAGAGACTCTATAAATGTTTGCTGGCTGACTGGGTTGGGGAACTAGATGGGTAGGTGGATGGATGGATGGATGGATGGGCAGATGAGTGGATGAATGGATGAGTGCACTGGTGGACTGTTGGATGAATGGATGGATGGATAGATGAGTGGATGGATGATGGATGGATGAATGGATGGGGATGGATGAACAGGTGGGTGGATGGATGGCAGATAAATGATGGATGGACAGATGGGTGGGTAGACTGGTAGATGGATGGATGGATGGATGGGTAGATGAGTGGATGGATGGATGGATGGATGGATGGATGGATGGATGGATGGATGGATGGGTGGATGGATGGATGGGTGGGTAGACTGATGGATGGATGGATAGATGGATAGATAGTAAGACCAATCACCTTCCACTTGCCTTCCTTGCAAAGGCATTCATCTTTTTTATTTGACAAATATTTATTTAGTTCAGACTCAGTGCTGAAAAAACATTCTACATTAGGACCAAGGGACACACAAGTGAATAAGACAGAGCCTCTGCCCTTGTGTAAATCAAAATGGGATCAGGAGCATGGATTCAGGGGCCTGACTTCCTGGGTTCAAATCCCAGCTCTTCTATCAGCTAGTTGTGTGCCCTTCACAAGTTTCCCTCATTACATGGGGATGGTGTCAGGATCTATTCCTGAGGGTTTTAGGGGGATTCAATGAGCTAACAACACAAAGTACTTAGAGCAGGGCCTAGTGTAGATCCAAGTCTCTGCGAGTCTTGGCAGCTTTCATGGGAATGGGGGAGACAGCAGGAAAGCAAAGAAGGATGAGGCAATGAGGTAAGAAGTGCAATAGGAGAACACACAGGCCCGGAAGGAGGGACCCACAAATAGTACCTTGGGGGAGGATGTCAAACAAACTTTTTTCAAAGTGCAAGATTTGAGCAGGGCCCTGAAGCCAGGTGTTCCCTCAACAGAGTAGAGAAACCCAGATTCCTGATTGTGGTCTGGTCTGGGGTCAGCAGTTACTAGCAGGAACTGTCTTTCTGCCACCACCTCTGGTTGCATGAGGGGCATCTGCTACACCAGGCGAAAGGTGAGAGAGGAGACAGCAAAGGGCCAGGTCTGTTCCCAGGGCCAGCCAAGGCACCTGCTGCCCAAGCTAAGAGACATGACATCCTCTTGGAGTGGCTAACGGCAAAGGAGGTTGGGTTTCAGGCTGCTGGCTCCAGCCTTGGCAGCTGCTCTTTCTGTTGACCTCTGATAGTCCAGACCATTGCCCAACCTACCCCCCTTCTGTGACCTGAGTTGTCCTACAATGGTATTGCCCCAAATAGCTTCCATGTGAGAGTTAGAGAAAGGAAAAGGTTAGACGTTGCAAGAGAGAGAGAGAGAGGGAGGGAGAGAGAAAGAGCTGTCAGCTGACCTGTCTCAAGGAAGGTATAAAACCCCTTTGGGGCTAGACTGGACACCCATTCAGTCTACACTTGCTCTTTTTGTCTTCTTCAGACCACAGCATGGGGCTCAGCGACGGAGAATGGCAGTTGGTGTTGAATATCTGGGGGAAAGTGGAGGCCGACATTCCGAGCCATGGGCAGGAAGTCCTCATCAGGTAAAAGGAAGAGATTCTGTAATCCACCCTCCAAAAGTCAAGGGTTTTCAGCTACAAGGTGGAAAGTAAGCCCCAGGGTTGACCAGCTGCCTGTGTTAGTTAGACTGTTAAAGCCCCTACTTGCTTCTCCTTTGCTTTGAGGCGTCAGAAGTTTGAGTCAGAGACCGGAAAAGGGACCCATTTCCAGCTTTCCCCTGACACTTGAGGATCAGACCTTCAGTGCCGAGAGCCCACAAAGAGGGATCCTGGCAATGGTCAGAGTTAACAGGGATCCTGAGAGATCTGGTCCAGACACCTCATTAACAGAGGAGGACAAGAAGGACCTGAGAGGAGAAGGACATTTCCCAGTCACAAGCCATAAGCGGTCAAGGTTAAGACATGGCCTTTGAGGTGATGCAGGTCTGGCTGTAGTCTTGGCCCTGCCATTGAGCAGCTGTGTGACCACTGGAAAGTTATGCAACTTCTCTGAGCCTCAACATCCTCTCCTGTACATTGGGGGGAATTCTAATGGCCACTACACAAAGTGAAAGTGAGAATTAAATAAGATGATGTATTTAAATGGCTTGGCAGCATTCTGGGTATACGGTGAGTTCTAGAAGACAATGCACACGCTAGGAATCTCTCAAGGTTTTGGAATTAGAGAAAAGAAGTCAGAGGCTCCTTAGTGTCCTTTCGTCTTGAGTATGTCTTGAAGTTGGAAGTTCATAATAGTGTAGTCTCCAAGTTCCTACAGTAAAGAGTTCCTGAAAGAAAAAACACAAAAATAAAGAAAACCAAATTCTGATTTTGTGAGTAGAGAATAGCTGAAGGCTTTCATTTTCTGTTGCTTTCTGCCCCAAATGGTGGGAGGCTGTCCTTTCCTCCTGGTTCCTTCTCAAAAGCTCTGGGTCAGTTCTGGCCAAGAATCAGACCAACTTCACTGTACCTGGGAGGAAGTAGGCCTGGGGCTGTCCCAGGTGGATGGATTGGCCTTGGTGGTTTAACTTACAGACTTTTCCTGTCTCCATTCAGTTGCCTTCTCTGTCTCTCTTAGGTTTTGCCCTTTTCCAGCTCCTGTCTGCCTGGGGAGAGTGGCCAAGTCCTTGAATCTATTATATGAGGTTTAAGACTTTCAGGTCAAGGTCTCTACTGACTGGCATCTTGGAGTGTTCCCTCTCTCTTTCTCCTCTTGTCTCTGTTAACTGGCTGCCAGGGCTATCTCCTGACTGGATACCCTGAGTCCCTGACAGGCTGTCCCCCAGTTGATATCAAGTCTTCAGCCACTCATTTGCTGTGTGACCTTGTATAAGTCACTTCACCCCTCTGGGTCCTATCTCCCTACTGCTTGCATGAGGGACTGTCTACTGGTCTCTGAGATGCCTTTCAGTTCTTATGTTCAGGGATTCTCTGAGCCCATGATCTGTTCTTGTTTTTGGAGTGGAGGCATGGTGTTGAAGGTCAAGGGGAAAATTAGAGTTTGCAGAGCAGGAAGCTTTATGAGGTGATCTGGGGGCTGCCAACCTGAGGCAGTCACTAGTGTCTTAAAGAGCCTTAGGATGTTATGTCATCGGAGAAACATTTCCTCCCATCCAGGATGGATAAGAGAGGGCTGCCAGGGGGCCAGGGGCCAGGTACCAGGAGACATAATGCCCAACACTTCTGGCTCCTGGAAGGCCCCAGAGTGCCAATACTCTATCACATCTTAGCTACATGTGGGCAGAGGCCATGCCAATGGCTTCCTTGTTGGGGAGGGAAGACAATGCTAATTCCCAGGGCTTCAAATGCCTCCATGTGGTTCTCTTTATGATGCTGAGCCTGGGCTTTTGTACTGACCTTGGAAAGGTCTTGTGTCTAAATCCTCTGATTATAAAAGGAAGATGATCCTGTTAACCCAAGTCTGCTGGCAAAATGTGAGGTCTTTACTGCAAGTACATGATTTTGGAGTTCTAGGACATAAGAGCTGAAAGATCAGTTGGAGACTTTGGCTCCAGAGGTAGACTGCTGAGTGGGCTCCAAGCTCATGCCTTTCCTTTTCTGTTTCATTTATTTTTGCTCTTGATTGAACAAAGGATTTTGAAGCTTTGAAAACCATTGTTCATGGACAATACTCCTCATGTCATAGGGAGGAAACAGCCCGAGTGTCTCAGCCAGTTAGTGGCAGCTATAGGCAGAACCTAAAATTCCCGATCCTAAAGATGACGAAGATGGTAATGATGATGGTGGTGATGATGATGGTGGTGATGATGACGGTGATGATGACGGTGATGATGATGGTGATAATGATGGTGATGATGGTGATGGTGATGATGATGGTGATGATGATGGTGATGGTGATGGTGATGATGGTGATGGTGATGATGATGACGATGGTGACAGTGACGGTGATGATGATGATGACGGTGATGATGATGGTGATGATGATGATGGTGATGATGATGGTGATATGATGATGATGGTGATGATGATGATGGTGATGGTGATGGTGATGATGATGGTGATGATGACGGTGATGATGGTGACAGTGATGATGGTGATGGTGATGGTGATAATGATGGTGATGATGACGGTGATGATGGTGACAGTGATGATGGTGATGGTGATGATGATGGTGATGATGATGACGATGGTGACGGTGACGGTGATGGTGATGATGACGGTGATGATGGTGATGATGATGGTGATGATGATGATGGTGATGATGATGGTGATGATGATGATGATGGTGATGATATGGACGAGACGAGGATGATGGAGATGATGGTAGGGATGGTTATGGGGCTGCTGCTGCTGCTGATAATGGTGGAGATGATGAAATGATGGTGATAATGGTGATGAGGTAGAGGAAGACAGCCACGATTTATACAGCACATACTAATTGCTTCACACAGGCTCATGTAAGCCTCACAACAGTTCTGTGATGTAGATATTATTATTGTCATCTACATTTCACAAAGGAGCTCTGGTAGCGTAGTGGTTACGAGTTGGGCTGCCAACCTCAAGGTCAGCAGTTCGAAACTACAAGCAGTTCCGCGGGAGAAAGATGAGGCATTCTGCTCCTGTAAAGATTTACAGCCTTGGAAACCCTGTGCAGGGTCGCTATGAGTAGAAACTGACTCCACGGCACATAACAACAACATTTCACAGAGAAGTTAAGGAACTTTCCCAAATGCCACACAGCAAGGAAGCGTGGAGCTGGACTTCAAACCAGGCAGCTGAGAGCCAGCATCCCTGCTCTTGGTCACTATATACATGGCCCCACAATCTCACTAAGTGACAGATGTTTGCCCATTGCCACTCTGGTTCTTTTGTTCTAGAACAGAGAGGGTCTTCACAGATCTGAGTGAGTCCTCAGTCTTCTGTCTGGATGCCCAGTTGGGTCTCAGCTCAGAGGACAGCAGGGAAATGACCTTTATGCCTTCTGACTTGCCTGGGGGCCTTCCAGGTAAACTGGGCAGGTTGACAACAGGAATGAAGAGGAACATGCGAAGCAAGTGTGTATTTATGAAACATTAGTGGACAGACCCAGTGCCCATTTCCACAGAGTGAGGGCTTTCTGTCTACTCATTCTCTAGGTAGCTGCTGTCTGGCAAATCTGGGAAGGTAGCCTCCTATGGCTGCTCTGGGGGCTTCAGGTTGTGAGACTTGGGGGGCAAGGGAAGCAGATAGACTAGGGGAGGCAGGTGAACTAGCCCAAGTCCTCTGGACTGTTGAAAACCAAGTTGGAGCTCCTACTGTGACTGGTGGTTGAAAGTAGAGGGTAGACGGAGGGTGAGGGTGGGGAGCCTTAACATTTGGAGACTGAGAAATCATCTAGACCAACCCTTTGGTTTACAGACAAGTGAGCTGAGTGAGACACAAGGAGCTCTGGTAGCATAGTGGTTACGAATCGGGCTGCAAACCACAAGGTCAGCAGTTTGAAACTACCAGCTGTTCCGCAGGAGAAAGATAAGGCGTTCTGCTCCCGTAAAGATATACAGCCTTGGAAACCCTGTACAGGGTCACTATGAGTCAGAACCGACTCCACGGCACATCACAACAACAACAAGAAGCTGAGACACAGAGAGGGTGAATGGCTCTTTTCATGTCACACAGCACATTGGAGACAGAGCTGGAGCAGATCCAGCTTCCGTATTTCTCAGTCCATTGTCCTTTCCTCAGACTTCTGGGGAAGGGGAACCCTCAAATATCTATGTTGACCAGTTCCCTGGCAGGTCTGGGTCCAGGTCCAGGTCCAGGTCCTTAGCCCTCTCCTGCCCCAGGCAGTGTCCTCCCAGCGTCCTGACCTCAGGCCTTTGTCTGCGGTGCCAGGTCTCCATCTGTCAGGCAGGCAGGAGTACACGGATCATTGTCACCAGTTAATAATAGTCAGGAGCTTGGGACCCTTGGGTGAAGGGTGCCAGAGACGAGCTGTCAGTGACTCATGAGACTTTGGACAGGCCCTGGGGTGAGGTGTGACGTTGGATATGGCTGTGGGCAGACCCGGACATTCTGAAGAAGAGCAATTGCTCTCTGTCCATGCTGTGGACCTGTGCTCATGTATGCATGCATGATCGTATGGGTGTGTGCTCGGGAGACATTGATGAGTACCTGTTTGTGTGTCTGTGTTTGTGCACATGTGAACATACACATCTATGTGTACACTGATGCGTGTGACTCTGGACATGGCTGAGACATTTGTGTGTGTGCATCAGATATGTAAATAAGTATCGTTGGATATGGATAATAAAGCAAGAGCTGTCCCCAAGAGTGTACATATGAAGCTAGACTGCCAGAGTGAAGACACCAGCCGGTGACTTCGTCTTTCTCTGTCCTTGTCCGTAGAACAGTACCTGCTGTATAAACCTGTTGCCATCTCGATTCCAATTCATGTGTTAGAGTAGAACCGCTCCGTAGGCTTTCCTTGACTGTAACCTTTACAAAAGCAGATCACCAGACCTTTCTTCCACGGTGCTGCTGAGTGGATTCAAACCACATGTGCGTTAGAGTCGAGCATCAACTATTTGTTCTACCCTGGGACCTACCTATTTCATACAGTTTATTCCATGAGAAAGAGGAGTAGGAGAGAAGAGAAAGAGGAAAAAATAGTAACATTGACACAAATTTACCATGTGCTAGACCCCCAGCATATACTATATCCTTTAATCCCCACGACGCTGCTTAAGATAGACTGCTGGTGTCCCCATTCCTTAGATGACGAAGGAGAGGCACAGAAAGGTGGACGAGTTCATTGCCCAATCTCACCCAGCTGGGAAGCAGGGAGAGCTGGGACTTGAACTCCACTCTGGCTGCCTCCAAACCCACTGTGCAGCCAGCCTCTGTGACTCCAGTCTCCTGTGCCCATAGGCTCTTTAAGGGTCATCCCGAGACCCTGGAGAAGTTTGACAAGTTCAAACACCTGAAGTCAGAGGATGAGATGAAGGCCTCTGAGGAGTTGAAGAAACACGGCACCACCGTGCTCACGGCACTGGGGGGCATCCTCAAGAAGAAGGGGCAGCATGATGCGGAGCTTAAGCCCCTGGCCCAGTCCCACGCCACCAAACACAAGATTCCCGTCAAGTACCTGGAGGTAAGGGGCAAGGACAGGGTGGGCAGAGAATGGAGGAGGGGAATGGGGTGAGGCCTTTGAGGGGATGAGGTTTGGGTCTGAGTCTTAGCTCAGTCACTACCTTGTCACTACCTCTGTGCCCGTTTCCTCATCTGTAAAATGGGGATGTCACCCACTTTGCCTTCTTCCTCATTGAGGAAAAGCACATTTCTTCCTCAAATAAAATTAGCATACAGTTCCCAAGGAAGAGGGGAGACTACTGGGGACACATTCATGCTGTTGAGTTGGTTCTGACTCATAGTGACCCTGTATAAGGTTTCCAACAAGTGGCTGATGGGTTTGAACTGCTGACCTTGCGATTATCAGTCTAGTGCTTATTCTACACTAGGACTCCATCTCTCCATGGGTAGAGACCAGATGAGGAAACTCAGGCATAGAGTGGGGGAGTAACTAACTAGTCCAGGGTCATAGACGTTGTCAGCAGCAGAGTCAGGATTCCAACTCAAGTCTCCATTACTCCAGAATCCCAGCTCCTACGTCCTGTGTGGTTTGGAGTCTGAAATATCCATAGGACAGAAATCTAGTGACTCTTGCTCAGTTCTTCAGTGGGGTGGCCAGCAGACTGACTCTGTTAGTTCTAGAACCTTTATAGGTGACAAGCCTTAAGTTTCTCAAGCACATGCAATTGGCTTGAACCTCCTGAGAGGGGCTGAGAAGTCTCCTTGTAACTGGTCTGAGGAGGGGCTGGAGAGAAGAGGGGCTTATGGATAAGAGGTCTCCTCTGAAGTAGGAACAACAGGAAGGTTGGGGCAGTAATGACGGTGAAGATAAGGGTGACAGCTACCAGTTAGGATCGGCTTGGGCAAGCATTCACCTGGATCACCCTGTGGAATTCACACAAGGTTAGGACTTGCATTCAATGTCTTTTTTTCCCTCTCACCTAAAAACTGTTCAAAGGTGGGCGCTGGTGTGGTAGTACCAGTCATTTGAGACCCAGGCTCATTGTTTCTGGACTGCAGTCCTTACTGCATTATGTCGTCTTACAGTTGCCTCATGGCCCAAGATGGCTGCTAGAACTCCTGCCATCTGCTCCATATTCCAAACAGGAAGCAGGAAGAAGAGAAGAAGGCTCTCTTTTTAGGAGTTTCCCCAGAAATCTCACCCAATATGTTTAATTTACATCTCATTGGTCAGAACTAATTTACAAGTCTTTATTTGCATGTTATTGTTGTTATTAAGTGAAGTCGAGTTGGTTCCAACTCATAGCGACCTATATAGGGCTTCCGAGGAGTGGCTGGTGAGTTCAAACCACTAATCTTGTGGCTCAAACCGACCTTGCCATCTACTGCTTATCCTACAGCTGGGAAATGAGGTCTATTGTCACCCTAATGACACCAGTATTCTGTGGCCAAGGAAGAAAAGGACAATGAATGTTATGTAAGCAATTAGCAGTCTGTGCCCCAGGCAGTACCATTCTCATCCCCATTGTACAGATTTGAAAACTGAGGGATCAGAGAAGTTATGTAGTTTGCCCAAGGTCACACAGTGAATACCCCAGGAAGTAAAGTCAGATTTATGGCAGTCCAGAGCCCAGGATCTTAGTCTCCCATCAACCACCACCACCACTTCCCTGCATTATCCAGTCACCACCCCACAATCTTGCCCACCCACCCCACTCATATCAGGAGACTCCTGTGCCAAGCCAGTCCTGAGTCTGTGGGGCTGTGGCCCCTGCCCTCCCCTCTTCTCTTGGTAAAACCCTACTCACCCTCCAGTTCAGAAGCTGCCTCCTATTTTCTGGCCCCCAGGCCACAAGGTGCTTAGTTGCTCACCTGACAGCCCTCGTTGGCGTATTTCTTTACCCAGCCATCTCCCCCGACTAGGACATGAACACATAAAGAGCAGAACTTGACACTCTTGTATTTCTGAACCCTGGTGATGTGAGATTGTGTTGTGAGTTGTCATCAGTGAATTCTGACTCACAGGGACCCCCATGAGCAGAGTAAAACGGCTTCATTGGGTTTTCAAGGCTGTGACTTTTTGGAAGTTTGCCAGGCCTACCTTCTGAGGCCCTTCTGGGTAAGGTTGAATTACCAATCTTTCCGTAAGTAGCTGAGTACTTAACTGTTTGTGTAACCCAGGGACTAAAAGCATATTGGCAATTTTACATCCATGAGGTCTTTTGATCCTTAAAACAGCCTCACATTCTCTCCATCGTCTGTTTCCCAGCTCCATGTTCCTGGTGATGGGATTGTGGATCTTGAAGCCAGTGGCAATGTTGGCATGCATTAACAGAAAGCCTTCCCTGCCTCTCTCCTCTTCCTCTCCTTCCCTCCCACCAAGATTTCTGTGCTTGACCCAGAAACAATGATGTTTTTGTTGTTGTTAAGTGCCGTCGAGTCGGTTCCGACCCATAGCGACCCTGTACAGGGTTTCCGAGGGTGTAAATCTTTACAGGAGTAGAAAGCCTCATCTTTCTCCCGCAGAGTGGCTGGTAGTTTCAAACCGCTGACCTTAAGGGTCGCAGCCCGAATCGTAACCACTACGCTACCAGAGAAACAATGATACTTCCCCAAAATAAGGTCTTGAGAGCAGTGGTCATACTGTCCCACAGTGAAAAAGTCACACTCTGTTAAAGTACAATGAAGAGGTTTATTAAAAGTCCAAACACAGTACGGACCCGGAAGACGTCCAAATTCAGAGCGTGAAAATGGCCACTGGGCCGGACAATGAGAGGGAAAACTTTTCTGTCTGTTCAGAGCAGGAACTAAAAGTTATAAAATCATAATTGGCTGAAAGACAATCAGGGGAGTCGAAGGCGAGATAGCTAACTGTGGGGACCTAGCAGAGATAGGTGGGTGACACATAGGTGGGAGTCCTGGTGTGGTGCTGTGGGTTAATGCACTGGACTGCAAGGTCAGTTTGAACCACAAGGTCAGAGGTTCAAGCTCACCAGCCGCTCCTTGGAAACCCTATACTGGGTTGCTATGAATAGGAACTGACTTGACGGCATTTAACAACATTATGACTGATTAAGGGGCCTTTTCTTCAGTTTATCACAGGACGCCACAGGACAAGGGAAGGACAGGGTCTTCTGGGAACCTGATGGTAAAATGGTTTCTGGGGATCCATTATTTATTGAGAATGTGGGGCATCAAGACCCCTCCGGCACAAGCGATCACATCTCCCATCTATTTGGCCACAGGAAAGACCCTCTGGGTGTAGCTTGTAACACCCTGTACCTTCCAGACCTCAGAAGGAGAAGAATGTCTCCTTTAGGGAATACAAGCAGGCCAGCATGAAGATGAGACCAAGACAGCTTTAACATTCCACGTGGATTCCAGACTCAGGTTAAGACTTTAAAATGGAGTTCAGACTGCTCTCCTTATACACACCAAGTGCCTCGGATTCCAAACTCTCTCTTACAGCACTGTCATTAACACATGCAAATGGATTTTAAAAAAATCTTTGATAGAGCCCAGGAATCTGAGCATTTCCGGTTTCCTGCAGCCCCCACCCCCCAAGCCTGAATGGTAGCAGAGGGTAGTGGCACAGGGTTGACACGTGGGTTCAAATCCCAGCTCTGCCCCTTTCCGGCTACGTAACCTTGGGCACACAGCTAGCCTCTTTGTGCCTCATTTTCCCCATCTGTAAAGTGGGGATTGTAGTAGTACCTGCCACAGGAGCTTGTGGGGAGGAAGGAGTTAACCTGTGGAGCTCACTCAGAACTGCTTCTGAGCAAAGTGCTCCTAGAGCAAGCCCTGGCTTTTCCCAGTGGTGACCTTCTTGTCCTTTGTCCCTGCAGTTCATCTCTGAAGCCATCATCCAGGTCCTGAAAAGCAAGCATGGTGGGGACTTTAGCGCCGAAGCCCAGGGAGCTATGGGCAAGGCCCTGGAGTTGTTCCGGAATGACATCGCGGCCAAGTACAAGGAGCTGGGATTCCAGGGTTAGGCCCCTGGACCCCACCCCCACCCACCTGGGACCCAGGATCCAGGGAGAGGTGGGGACAAGCCTCCTGTAGCAATGTAGAGTCTGCTTGGAGTGTCTGCTTTGTGAGAGGTGGGTAGGAGGGGGGGGAGGGCTGGGGGCAGATGTCCTTAATCACTTCCCAAGCCCAGGAATCCATGATGACCCCATGGAGGGTCACCATCCTGAGGGGAGCATTTGGTGTAGCTTATCCTTTGCTCTGGTCATCCTTAATCCTCCTTGTACCTAAATACCAGCTCAATTCTTGCTCACCTCCAAACTCACCCACAGCCCTACCCTCACCATTAACCCCCAACCCAAACCCTCACCTGAGTCCCCCTCACGCTGTGGTTCACCACTGCCTCCTGAAGGCAGCAGAGGCCCTTCGTCACCAGGAGGAGATTGGGAGGACAGGACAGCCATGCCTAGCCCAAGGGAGGCGTTTGGGAGTCTGGAACATAGCGCACCTTCTCAGTTAATGGATGACTCACCTGGTTTCAATAAACGACCCTGCAACATCTCAGTCTCCACCTGGCGTTTTTCATTCCCCAGAGCAGGTGGGAGGAGCCGTGGTGGGGCAGAGCTCCTTAGTAACCTCATCTCTCAAACTTTGGACATATTGTTGGGAGGGATCAGTCCCTGGAGAAGGATATCATGTTTGATAAAGTGGAAGGTCGGAAAAAAAGAGGAAGACCCCCAACGAGATGGATTGACACAGTGGGTGGGAGCGATAGACTCAGGCGTAGTAAAGATAGCGAGGTTGCCTCGACGGTCGCTGAGTCGGTACTGATTCAATGGCACCTAACAACAACAACAGTAAACAAAAAGTAGCCGGATCAAACCCACCTGCTACTCAGTGGGAGAAAGAGATGGCTATTTCCTCTACGCTATCGGGTTGCTGTGAGCCGGAATGTAATCGCTGGCACACAGAGTTTTGGTTTGATTTAGAGCAGGCAGATGGGGCCACGGAGAAAACGGGCGGATGGCAGACAATGAGTGTGTGTGTGTATGTGTGTTCCTGTGGGAAGGAGGAGGAAGAGAGGAGGGAGAGGAAAAGTCAGGGTGGAAGGCGTAGGAAGACTTTAGGAGATGAAAACGGAGGGAAGAAGCCAGCAGGGAAGAAGGCTCGAAGGGGGAGGGAGGACTCTCTGGAAGGACGAGTCTGGAGGCGCGAAAGAGGGAATGTACGCACTTCCCCCTAAACGTCCTCTAGGTGGCAGCAGCAATGCAGGGTTGGGGAGGTGGAGAGATGCAGCTGATAGCGGGTCTGGTGGGGGTGGGGGTGGGGGTGGGTCAATAGGCCTTAGCAGTGTGAGATCAGAGCACAGGGACTGCGCAGAGGAGCAAACCTGTGGTCACAACTTAAGGAACCTGCAAGGTCACCCAACCAGGAGGTGCTGAGCTAGGATTTAATCCGTAGTCCAGCTGTGCGCAGCTGCGGGAAACTAGCCGGTGGTCCACGTTGACCTTCTGAGACAGACACGTGGGGAACAACACGCAGGCCAAGATTCAAAATCCCTGTCTCCAAATGGAGCGTTCAGAAGAAGTGCTGTACGACATCCCAGAATAAAGCATTGGCTTGTGACGAGGCAGCCAGAAGACGGCAGGCAGAAGGGCCCTGGGAAGGGCTGGGCTGCAGGGCCTGGTGGGTGGAGCCAAGATCTACTAACCCACCCACATTCGAAGGCCCTGGGAGCCACCTCTGGGGAGCCCCAAGTGCACAGAACCATAAGTTTCCTGGGGCTCCCCGACAAGTTACCGTGGTGCCCCTGCCCAGACCTGTTCATATTGAGGCTCAGCCCACCAGGAGGAACCTCAGATTCACAGCCGCAGAGTGGGCCAGAGCGCCCTTCCTGCAGGGGAGTTTTCAGTTCTGTAACAACAGACTGTTACCTCAGACATGTTGCCACCGGGCATGCCCACATGAAAGAGTCCACTTTGGGCCTTCCACGCTAGGAGAAGTGGGAGACAAAGACACTGGCACCTGGTGGGGGAGAGAGGGGGTGACTTTTTAATCTTGGAAATTGGGGGCAAAAAGTCCATTGATTTCTTTAGCAAATCAGTTCAATACACGAACAATGAGCAGTTCTGCCTAGGATGAACTTACAGATCCTGTTGTGACGCTGTGGGTTAATGAGCTGGACTGCAAGTTAGGTTTCAGACGGAAGGTCGACGATTCAAGCTCATCAGCTGCTCCTCAGAAACCCTATACAGGGTCGCAATGGGTCTGAATAGACTATGTTCACACTGTTCCTGTGTTTGAGCACATTCTTGCAATCACGTGTCAAACCGTCTCGATGAAGGCCTCCTCATTTTTAGCTCATCCTCTCCTTTAAAAAAAAAAAAAAAATGTAGAGGGTCAGCAGAAAGCAAGTCAATGAAACACAGTGCATTGAATAACCAGAGCGTCACCATCCTCTCTTCCGAGGAACATTCTGGCTGGCTGTACTTTTTTTTTTTCTTCCTTATTCACTTTCCAGCGCATGCATATGAGGTTACTGAAAATACCATGGCTTGGGTCAGGCGCACCTTAGTCCTCAAGCTGACATCTTTGCTCTTTTAACACTTTAAAAGTCTTGTACAGCAGATTTGCCTAATGCAGTATGGCATTTGCTTTCATTTTTTAAAAATGTTTTATTGTGAATTATGTGATAGTTTGCATAGGAGAACATTAGTTTTACATTCATCCTATCGTATATCGTTTCATTGCCATGGTTACAATCCCCTCCATGCATCATCAACCTACCAAAGTGTATACATCATCAACCTACCAAAGTGTATATACCTCCAAGCCTGCCCCCCAGTCTTCAGCACACGGCACCTCTTCTTCTCTGAGTCTAAAGTCCCCAGCTGCTCCATCTCTCCACGTCATCGTCTCTGCCTCCATCTCTGACATCACTGCTTCTCTGGGTAGGGTCCTCCTCTCCGCTCTTCTCCCTTGATGGTCCTAGGGACCTCAGCTACTAGACTGAAAATTTAATCACTTCCCTCCTTGCTACAAAATGTCTACCTTTACATTTCCAACCCTCACAAATCAGTCCTGATCACAATTATTCACTATTGTATCACAAGAGACCTATCCGCATTTCATCACTGGCTGTACGTCTTACAAGACAAATTTGTACATTCATTTGGCAGTCCGTGGTGTAGTCAATATTCTTCACCAGCATCACAATTCAAATGCATCAATTCTTCTTGGGTTTTTCTTATTTATTGTCCAACTTTGACATGCATATGAGGCGATTGAAAATGCTGTGCTAAGGTGCACCTTAGTCCTCAAAGTGACAACTTTGCTTTTGAACACTTTATTTCAATTTTCACATGAGCTTTGCTGGCACAATGATACCAAGTGCTTAGTTTGGGAACAAAGTCATTAAGAACAACCATTAACAAAGAACTCAGTTCTAAATCCGTGCCATGAAGAACTCAAAGAAATTCGAATAATGATTTACTTCAGGGTATCTAAAATTTTGCTTTAAGCCTGCCTGATCCTATGTATGGTGAATTCCAAAGGGAATTCTTCTTAATCCTAATCTTTCCTCTTTTCTTCTTCTCTCTGCCATCTCTCCAACTTCTTTCCATGAGAGTTCACCATTCTGTACAAAAAAGCTGATGGCTCGTCACCTACTCAGGCAATTGGCCAGATAATAAGAGCAAATGTTAAAATAATAATAATAATAATAACCCTATGACCATTCTGCTCTTCAGTGTTGTAGTAGTGGTTGTTATTAGATACCAGCGAGTCGGTACCAACTCATAGCCACCCTATGCACAGCGCAACGCAATGCTGCCCGGTCCTGTGCCAACCTCACAATCATTGTTATGCCTGAGCCCATCGATGCTGCCACTGTGCCAATCCAGCTCGTTGGGGGTCTTCCTCTTTTTCTCTGATCCTCCACTTTACTAAACATGATCTCCTTCTTCAGGGACTGGTCCTTCTTGATAATATGTCTGAAGTATGAGAGATGAAGTCTGGCCATTCTGGCCTCCAAGGAGCACTCTGGCTGCACTTCTTCCAACACAGATCTGTTGGTTCTTTTGACAGCCCATGGCACTTTCAATATTCTCCTTCAGCACCATAACTCAAATGCAACAATTCTTCTACATTCTTCCCTATTCATTGTCCAACTTTCACATGCATAAGTTGTTGTTGTTATGTGCCGTGGAGTCAATTCCGACTCATAGAAACCCTGTACAGGGTTTCCGAGGCTGTAAATCTTTACAGGAGCAGAAAGCCTCATCTTTCTCCCACAGAACAGCTGGTAGTTTCAAACTGATGACCCTGAGGTTAGCAGCCCGATTCATAACCACTACATGCATAAGAGGTTATTGAAAATACCATGGCTTGGGTCAGGCACACCTTAGTCCTTAAACTGACATCTTTGCTCTTCAAAACTTTAAAAATGTCTTGTGCAACAGATTTGCCTAATGCAATACATCCTTTGATTTCTTTGTGTGTGTGTGTGTGTTTTAAGTTTTATTGTGAATTATGTGACAGTTTACATGGGAGAACATTAGCTTTACATTCATCTTATCGTATATTGTTTCATTGCCATGGTTACAATCCCCTCATCACCAATCAACGAAAGGGTACATCCTATTAGCCTACTTCCCGCCCCCCACACCCTCCACCCTTTCCTCCCTGGGTCCTGAGTCCCCAGCTGTTCCATCTCTCCACATCATCATCTCTGCCTCCATCTCAGGGATTGCTGCCTCTCTGGGTAGGGTTCCGCTCTCCGCTCTTCTCCCTTCATGGTTCCAGGGACCTCCACTCCCAGCCTGCAAAGTCAATCACTCCCCTCCTTGCCACAAAATGCCCACTTTTACATTTACAACCTTCACAATCAGTCTTGGTAACAATTATTCACCCTTGCATCACGAGAGACCTATCCGCATTTCCTTTAATCAGTCCCGCCTAGACAGATTGGATACTACTCAGTGGAGATTCTACCTTCCTCCATGCCCTCTGGATCTAGGTTCGCTCT